ACATGTGATGAATTCTTTAGTAACAAATTTGCCTAGAAATAAGGATAATAGCATAAACAATTTTAATATTGCATAATTTTATGTATAGTGATGTAAGTCTGTTTTTTTTATATGAATTTAACACATGTTTTTTTATCTATTTTAATGATTATAAACTGTACATATATATATTTATATTTGTATTGTACTATATTAACTATGTGACTGGTTCTATATCTATGTATATGGATTTATGGAATATACAATAAATGAATGAATGAATGAATCATGGACAGAATAGAAAAATCCAGGAATGCTGTGGAACTGAGAAACAAAAGAAAATTTAAACATAAAATATCCATGTNGCTCGGGTTCGATCCCAGGTCTGGTCAAGTGGGATTTGTGGTGGACAGAGTGGCGCTGGGGCAGGTTTTCTCCAAGTATTTCGGTTTCCCCTGCCTATCTTTATTCCACCAATTGCTCCACAATCACCCTCACCTATCATTTGGGGCTGGTACAATAGGCCAGAATTGGCTGCAGTACAAGGGACTTTGTCCCACCCGACTAGCAATAAAAAAAATTATGAAAGAAAACGAGCAGTATAACAGATAATATAAAGTATGAAGAGAAAATATTCATGTTTTAAGTCATGAGAGACCTGTCATGCAGAGGAAAGAATGCAGAATATGGTGTTGGATGAATAAAGCATAGGGCAGCTGGATGAGGTGTCAAAATAATTAATGCATGAAGTGGATGTAGATTAAGCCGTTAGGAAAATGGAAACTGTTGTTGCATATGGAATCTATTGAGATTCAGGGGTACAAGGAGACTGGACATCATTTTAGCGTATATAAAGATAATATGAAAAGAAACAAATGAAAAAATTACGTCAACACGATATATAGGCAAGCAATTAAAAATAAGTTTCTCTTCTTTGTTCTTTTCCAAGTACACTTATGTTTGTTTGAGACTCTGAATTTCTGATTGCAGCATTGCTAAATACAGCTACATGTTGGGACAGTTTAACATTTCTTAAATGTGTGGAAAGAGCGACAAAAATTGGGCACATTGTAGATCTACTGCATTCAAAACTGGACTTAAACAGATGCAGGTGAGTGTCTATTGCTACATGGAATTTATGAAACGAAATTCTGATTAGTAATTCTCTCACTACAACCAATAACCCTGAAAAGGAATGTGGTATTGTTAGTAGGCAATTGCACCAGTTTATGGCACAGAAAAAGATCAATTTCAATTTAAGTTCATTGGCAACATTTACTACAAGCTTGTCTTCACAAATTGGTACACTGCAGAGCTCTCTGTGCAGTAGATTTTAAAGGGTTCTGATACTGTTGTACTCGTATAATGCTCTTCATCCAGTGACTAACCACTCACCTCCATCTAGTGCTAAATTTAAGCTATATTCCTATGCCTGCATGCATCTTCAAGGCATAGTGCTCAATTTGGTAAAACTTTATTTACTTTACATAAGTCGTCTCACATCCATGTACATGAGATCTTTACTAACAACCTCTGAAATAATTCGCAGAATATGGTAGCAATATGTTGTCACTGAAGCTCGTCTTACATATCCTACCATGAGATAAGATTTATATAAGAATTGCACCTCTCTTTTTAACAAACAATGTCTACTTACCTTAAATTTAATTTGAGTTTTCTACGGTCTTCTCAGATGTGATGCTGTGCATTCTGATGAATATGCACCAACATGGAAAGTAGCTATGTGATCAAATGCCTAGAATTTCTCCAAAATGCTTAAGGCATGGTTAAGATGAAATTGATTTAAATCCATGTAAGATTTTTTTATTCTTAATATTTTTGGCTGTTATACTTCAAAATTCTTCCTAATGGCAGCAAAGGCTTGCAAAATAACTCAACCTTCCAAAATACATTTTTTATTATCATAAATTATATTTCCTAACATGTGTGTATTCAGAATTATGATCAGCATATATTCTTATTTACCAGATATTGCATGATGCAGTAAACACAGTGCAGATCATACCAAGATACTGAGTACAATAACAAATGTTTGTAAGGATTATTGGCTTTTGAGATGTGATGCTAAATATTCCAGTAAATAGGTAACAATGTTTTGGAGGAACCTTCTGCTTCTCTCCTTTAACCCCTCTCACATTTTTCTACCCTGAAGATGGAGGCAGCAATTTCATCCAAAACACCACATGGCATCACTTCCCAGATGACCATAATCTTAATATTCACTGCCAGAAGGACCTCCAATGTCGTACAAGTAATTTTTCTTTTTCTCCACAGCTATTTAATGATTGCAATGGCTACTTGCAATGCAAAGGCAACGAATCCAGGGCAGTCATGTCATTCATCACAAGACATCATTAATGAAGCTATCCATGCTTTCTTCACACGCACAAAATGTGGGCAGTTGGAATTTTGTTCCTTCAGCTCACACCCTAAACTTAAAGCATCGATTGCACTGGCAGTGGGCACAATGTATTTGAAACTTCACCTGACCTGAACACAACACATCAAATTCTTCAGTATACTTCCGTGTGCTTTGTAAGTTTGCCCTCATAAAATCATTGAATCATCCTATGAACACAACTGTGAAAACTAAGATTCAGATTTTCTACTTGCCCATCTGAAGATTATGGATGTGCATACACCAATTTTTCAAGCCAAGGATAACAATGCAAGGAATTCATATTCTCTCTCAAGTCCAAGAAACAGTTCTTGTAATTAAGAAAATAACTGAATTTCTATGATACTAATATACAATTTAACATATCTTATTTTAATGGGCACAGAATAGAAGAATATCTTTGTATCTTAAGATGTATTGAATGTCTTGATGCTAATTATGTTATGGCCTCATTAGAATTAATAGTTGCTATGAAGCTGGATGCACAGAAGTTGAAAACTAATCATGGTCAAGGGGTAATATTTGTGGTGTTAACAAGAGTTCACGTTTTATTTTGATGTGTTGAAAAAATTATAAACTGCTCACTGTTATACCAACAGTGCCAAAAATATTGCTTAATATAATTGCTATGTGACCTGCACGTAATTTCTTCATACAGTAAATTTTTGATTATCTGCTCTGTGCATTAACTGAGTGAGAGTTTTGAAAGCCCTTAGTTCATGATTTCTCAGACAAGATCATGATCCTCCCAGGGGGATAGAGGAGGGTAACTAAATTCTCATGTATTATTCAAAATGTTCTGTCATTTTGTCCACATTCAATTTAAGTCATGAAGTCAGAAAGATTATAGTAAATATGATCTAAAAATTTGTGACAATGGTACATTAGTACAAATATTATTCATTCATTCATTCATTTATTTCATTTCCATAAATCCATACAGAATCAAGTTCCATGAGATGTGGAAATAGTCAAGTTTGAATCTTAACATAGATACAAGAAAAATATAGAAAAACAAGTTATAGAAATAAATTCAAGAATACATAAATTAATATAATTACATTTCAAAATAACAATTAGTATATAGTAAGCAATCATATTTCTGCCAAGGCCCTTTATATATATTGTTATGTTAATTGTAATAATAAGTGAACAATTAATAATTACTTTAGCAAAATAAAATCATCTATTAAAAAATTCATCAAGTGTGTAGAAGGAATTATTACTCAAAAAGTCCTTCAATTTGACTTTAAATTGATTAGGTATGGAAACAATTTCTTTAAGATTATAAGGGAGTGCATTAAAGAACTTCACCGCCATGTGGGACACGCCCCTACCATATACAGCCAGATTCACCTGGTTCATATGTAGATCCATTCTCCGTCTAGTTAATAAATCATGATAGTCATTGTTTAGAGCAAACTTGTCTCTATTTTTAACAATGAACGTCATCAGTAAGTATACATATTTAGCTCTTAAAGGGAGTATATTTAATTCCCTGAAACTTTCTACACAATTGTTTATATCCACAACCAACCATTAATCGTATAGCTCTTTTTTGCATCCTAAAAACCTTTTCAGCAGAAGCTGAATTACCCCAGAATATCAAGCCATAGGACATGACAGAATGGAAATAAGAGTTATAAATAATTTTCAGGGTAGTAATAGTCATTATGGGTTTCATGTTCCTTATCATATAACAAGCTGAACTCAGCCTAGTTAACAGCTCATCAATATGTCTTTCCCAATTCATAGTTCTAGTAATAGTTATACCAAGGAATTTAAGATCGTAAGAGCTCGTGATTTGTTTTGGAGATAGGGAGAGAGGGACTAGCTCTATTGATTGGGCCCAACCAAGTAGGTTTTACCTGAAGATGGAGACAGAATCCAGTCTCCAAAATTTTATGATTTGGAAAATAAACAGAATGGTTTGTAGACGATGGATAATGTCCAAAAAACATAATATTTGTAAGAAAGATTATAGGTTTGGAAAATGTAGCTGCATCAAGCAAAATATTTCACGGCATTTTTCCCGATTGTAAAAGGACATTTTATAGCTTACTATAAGCATAAGGAGATTGTAAAGTTCATCATATTTCTGCAGTCACTGTACATCATGGAGAGTCATATAAATTTATGTATTATGTTAGAGGGTCAATGTATCACAGAATTTGAGAATCTTTGTCTTAGTTATTGATCATATCTTCCTCTTTCATTTATGTATTATTAATTCTCTTCAGTAGTATATATCATTGATATTTCATAACGATTTGCAGTAGATTTTACATCTCATTTTGTTCCAATTTTCTGCTTTGTTTTGTTATTACTACTGAGCAGAAAAGCTTTCTTCTATTGGAGAGATATTAGTTCTCCCTGTTTAGTGAACAGTAACATGACCAATAAGTAATAATTAATACAGTCATTGCAAAAATTGACTTAAGTTGTGTTATCTGCAAAATTTCAATCTTTCCAGTGTTGCCCTAAGTCACTTTAGTTCACATCTGTATTTGATCTGAATAAAATCATGTTAGATCACATAACTTGTGAATGGATGTTTATGGATGCATCACTTAGATTACTAGGCATTACAAACAGCCTGGTAATTTGTTTTCCCTTTTATTTTCTGTTTATCATTATATTTATGGTGCACTTTTCTGTAGTCTATGAGAAAATGATGCAACTAATATGTGAGACATGACAGTTACAGGAGATCAAAGGTGATCTCTGAAGCACAATATACCTTTGCATGTGTTTGTGGGTTCTACCAAGAACAGGTGTGGAACTGAAAAGATTACAAGAACAAACAAAAGAAAAAATGCAGAAATTATGAATAACAGTGATCCTGATATTGATTCTACACCTGGATTAAGTCCATCAGAAGGTCCATTTAAAGAAGACAATGAAACGTCATTAAAGAATCATCAGATGACTCAGGTCATACCACTCTTTCTAAATGTGGTCATCATCTTCTATATAACCCTTCACATTCTGAGACAGCCACAATCTGACTGAGCACTTGGAACATTTTATAACCCCAATTTTATGGAGGTAATTATCAGCAAAAGCCATTTGATTTCCAGAAAGCACAGTTCTAAAACCAGGGAAAAAACATTGATATAGTACTGAACAGTGGCTTCCTGTGACAATTATGACACCATTTCTACCAGGACAATTACTAAAACAGTAAGTTCAAACTTACAGAAGCCTACATAGAAAGAAAGCATCAGAGTGGGTAAGAGTATTCCTTTGATTTCTCTGTGTTTTATGTTATAGCACTGCCAGAATATCAGACCATATTGCATCAAATCGAATGATGATTGGTGAATAATTAATTGGAAAGTGTCTGGAAGAAAGTATCATGGCCTGATCTAGGTACCATCCTTGACTTTGTCTGGAAGGTCAGAAGAAAACCACAAGATACTCAGGATGGTTTGTGTCCTGGCTGACATTCAAACCAAGTACTTCCCTAATATAAGTCTAGAGCATTACCACTGCAGCAACCTGTTTAGTTATTCCATCAAACTGTGCTCTCTTGGTTGAATAATCTACGAGGGGGTACCCAAAAGAAACCGAACTTATTTTTTTTAAACTTATTTATTCAAATTTTAAGCACAAACCTTCAATCCCCTTCAAAAAGTACTCTCCACTTACACTAATACACTTGTCTAGTCTTTTATTCCATTTTTCAAAACATTGTCTGAATAAATCTTTTGAGATGCTTTACAGCGCCTCCGTCGTTTTTTCCTTCACCTCAGCAACATCAGCAAAACGCTTTCCTTTCATGTCACTTTTCATTCGAGGAAACAAAAAAAGTTTTGATCATTTCGGGACTCTTCTTTCAAAGCACAGCATGCTTCCACGTGACCTTGTTTTTGTTCAGCAGTCAGCAGTCTTGGCACGAATTTCGCAGCCACCCTTTTCATTCCCAAATCTTCTGTCAAAATTCGCTGAACTGAGCTCCAAGTCACTCCCGACAGCTCCACAATTTCTTCAATGGTCCGTCGTCGATCTTCCTTGATGATTTCACGAATTTTTTCAACATTTTCATGTGTTCGGGCCGTGGAAGGACGACCAGAAAAGAGGGTTTTCATCAATTGACATTTCACCATTTTTGAAACGGGAAAATCACTCAAACACTTGAGTTTTCCCCATAGCATCGTCCTTGTATGCCGTTTTTAACATTTCAAGAGTTTCTGTTCCACTTTTCCCGGGCAAAAAGCAGAATTTCACCGCCGCACGCTGTTCACGAAAATCAGCCATTGCAAAAACGACGATCACAGAAAACAGTTGTCAATATAAACTCTGCCGAAACTAGTCCTTACCTTCTGAAGCAACGGTAGTAGGCTTATCGACTCAGGAATGTTAGCTCTATGCGCTCATAGCGGCAAAACGCGGTACTACAAAAGCTCTGCCCACAAAGAAAAATAGTTTCGTTTCTTTTGGGTACCCCATCATAAAAGTTAACACCAGGGAAGGCCAATTTTCAATGGAAGCAGAACTAATTTTTCTCAGCTTCTGAGGAAAGCAACTGGTAAGCATGGTATGAACTTTCAACAACTTTCAATAGCAGAGGTTCTGAACAAGTGTGCAGGTGAACACAGGTGAAGCAAAAGTGCATCATTCATTATGTCTATATACATACTGCATGAAGATCTGTTTAGCATCATTTGTATTATGTCATGATATGAAACATGATGGTGGCAAAGGAAAGTTTTTATTTTCTTCTGCAATGTGCTTTCTCAACTCAACAAGTGGATTAAAACATTTCTACAGTACACAAAAGAAAGATAATATGGGGAGAGAGAGAGGGGGGGGGATTATAAGGGTGATGACACATGGAGCGGTTTTCGCCAACTCGGCCACAGCCTTGTGACAAGACACACGATGCTGCACACTGACTTGGCGGCTGCGTCAGAAACTGCTGAGAATGTATTCAATCTATGGAGCAAGTCTTCAAACCGTTCACTGCACCACCTGCAGACAACAGGCCGAGTTGGCAAATCTGCCACCTGTCGGCGAGCACCGCCTTGTCTGCTTTATCCCATCTGATGCAATAAAACTATGTGCCAAGTTGGCAAACACCGCTCTGTGTGTCATCGCCCTAAGAGGGGCTGAGTGTGACAAAACCTCTCATCCACTATGAACAGTCTCTTGTATGTCTATCAGTAACATGGAAGGTTGCTTAATGAGATGTCATAAACACATTGAAATTCCTACCGCAAAAAGAGATAAATACCTGACAAATTATTAGAGCATGTGTCTCAAAAGAATTCTAGGAGGGAAACCAGAATTCTGAGTTACCAGTATATAGTTCCTATGCATCCCGAAGGCTGATACCACTGGTATCACACATTCATGGTCTACTGAATGCAATGTGAAATTTTCATTTTTTCTTTTACGATATTTGCGAAATGTATTTTTTTTAAGATAACACAAAACCTGATTCCCATGCTTAGAGCCCCAGAACCTAAAGCAAGGCCTGAATAATACACAGCAATAATTGCAAAAGACCATGGCGTTCATTTTCAGCTCTATAAGAATAAAAAGTCTCAAACATTATAGATTTTCTCAACAACGGCCCAATGTACAAAAGATTCATACACAACATGAAATATTTTTTCAGTGTGGTGAACCTTTAATGAAATATGAAAGAAATAATTTCTAATGCTATGGAATGCAATTAACATAGCAACAGCATTTTTTTGTATCTGTGCGATATAAACAATAGAGGCAAAGGGGAATGCAGAATCATAAACAATATATTCAGACAAGGTACATCAAGTGCAACATTTTAAAATAAAATAAAAGAAAACCTTAATATATTTCAGCAACTACTGGCCATCATCACAAGATTGCCAACATTGCAAAGTAAAAACTTTACACGTATGTTGAATACAGGTTGTCAAAAGGGGATTTATACCATTGGAAATTGACAGCAGACTAAAATATTTTACACTTCAACAATAAGAAAATACAACCACTGTTGTGTTCAAGTATTTATGCATCAAGATTTTTAATTAATTTTAACTGATATTGTCTGTTATTTTTAACAACAAAACTTACTTCAGTTACATTAGTATTTCAATTTACTCCAAATTCATAATGGTAGAAATTCTCTTGTGACAACCTGTGTCCATCGTACATGTTAAATGTTTTCTTTTTAGTGTTGGCTTTGCCTTACAACGGTGGCTAAGAGAAAATCATAATTCCAAAATATCGTTCTATATAGGAGATAGTACAATTCCTGAGCTTGCTGAACAGTCAAATTTTCCTGTGTCTAGTGGACAGAGGGAGCCACCGGAAGGGGCAGAAGCAAAATGGCGACATCATTTGAGAAAGTGGAGGCTCGCACTGTGATATGGTTCTTGCATTTACAAGGGAAGTCTGCAAGGGAGACCCACGACCAGATGACCACTGTGTATCAGGAAGGTGTACCATCATATGACACAGTGGTCAGGTGGAAGAGGCGCTTTCATTGTGGACAGACAAACCTCAAAGAAGAACCCTGAAGTGGAAGACCATCTCTCACTGAGGAACTGGGAATTGTGGCACAGGTGGAAAGCTTTGATCCTATCTGATAGGCGCATAACTATCGAAGCTATGGTTCATTAGCATGGGTCGGTTTTCAGCATCATCCATGACGACTTACACATGACAAAGGTCACTGTGTGTTGGGTGCAACATTTGTTGACACCATTTCAAAAACAGCAATGGGTGGATGTGGCAAAGAAAATTTGCAATTGTGTCAGGACAAAAGGGTGGAATTTTTCGACCACCTGATCATGATGGATGAATGTAGGGTCTGTCGTTATGACCCTGAAACAAAGGAAATGAGCAAGCAGAGGAAACATGCAGACTCACCACCACCAAAGAAGACCAAATCCCAGCCATCATCAGGAAA